TGTTAAGTTCAGTAAATGGCCTTGCCATATACTTTGTCTTCTAAGTTAAAAATCTGTGTCATTTGCATGTTTTAACTAAAATGTTTGGTGGGGAATTGGAGGTTGATTGGATCCACTTAGGATAATTTTATCTTTATCAGATGGCTCAAGAGTTATTACTATATGACTATATCACTTTGCATATAGTTTACCTTGCCCCTACTCTCTATCTCATTGAAAAAGTCATAACTTTTCACTGTCACAAATAAAGAACCACAACTTTATTTCACAATTTTTCATGTATTTTTTACATTCTGATCATTAGAAAATTTTCGAGAAGTTGGAAGTGTCATGTCAAGGTGAAATTAACCCACTTATAATTGTTCAAGTAAATCTGTTCAAGTGTTATTTTCCTATGAACTTCACTGCAACTAAAAATACTTTGAGAACTGACCTATATTGGAACTGTTATAGCATTATTACATCCAAAACCAACTCATTATCTCCTCTACAGTACTCCCGTAAAATCTTGTGCAAACTCTATTAAAGTGTATTTCACACTGTATTGTTATTATTGATTACGTCCTATTTTTTGCAGAATGACCCTTACACTTTTATTCTATACATTGAGCAAGCATTAGCAACACGTATACAAAACCACTCAGACCTTTTATGTTGATTCTCTACTTCTGATAGTCAGGGTAAGTAGGCAGACTGCAGGGCAGGTTCCAAATGGGCTTCTTCAAAATAAGCAATGGCAAATGATAGGGTATATTGTCTAGTGCTTCTTAGGGTCAAATGGGGGTATTATATAATGAAAACAGCAGAGATCAAGAATAGGGGGAACATTGTTATAGGTAGCAGTCTGGATTAATTTTGAGGACAAAATGCTACATGTAGCAAGCAGGGTGAATTTAAAGGGCGCCAAGACAAGAGGGGCAGTAACTATGCACATGTTCAGGAAACTCCTGAGTTTTCTGCAAATATGGGTAATGGTACTGAGGGATGAGAATTGGACTGGATTTTCTATCTGCATTGCTTCCCCAAGTGATAACTTGTTGGCAAAGCCTTGCTGTGCTCTTTGGTGGTTGCAAGTTACAGGACCTAGTCTTTTTTATTTTTTTGTTTGTTTGTTTTCATGTATTTTGCTTTCTATTTAATGTATGTTTCTATTTCTCTGCTTCTTTATTTTTTTTTTTCAACTACAGTCTTGACATGGCTTCATCTTTATATCTTTAGCTATGAGTTCTGTTCAGCTAATCTTCAGCTCCAGGTTGACTGTTCTATAATTTAGTTGTAATTTTAATGTGGTCATGGGAGGAGGGAAGGACAGCATTTACCTACTCCGCCATCTCGCTCAGAACTCAGGACCCAGTCATTTTGCCTATATGATGTATGGTGCCTTAGGTGTGCCTTGACGATGCTATTTATGAGGTCCATGTGATTGTTGGTCTGTGGTTGATGGGTGTTGAATGTGTGGATTTAGACTTGGAGGGTTCTGCAAAAGACTTCCAATTTAGGATAAAAATCATTGTCTAGGGCCATGCTACCCTGAGCAAGCCCGATCCCATCTGATCTCAGAAGCTAAGGAGGGTCAGGCCTGGTTAGTACTTGGATGGGAGACCACCTAGGAAAATGGGTGCTGTAGGTGTAAAAAAAAAAAAAAATCATTGTCTCTATTCTAATACTCTAAGGTTAGGCAGTTCACTCTTATTAGTATAGCAGAACCATCATAACAAAGAAAATTGTCCAGAACAGGTTATAAAGTATTTAAGTTTCATGAATGAATTCATATGCTTAGAAATATGGAGCCCAGAGAGGGAACCGGTTTAAAATGGAATCTAAAGTGATGGGTTCATGGGAACTATAGGGGACTGGAATGGGGTGTTCCAGTGATCTATTGTGGCATAACAAATTATCCCAACCTTAATGATATAAACAAATATTTATGTATTATGCTCCTATAGGCCAGGAATTTAGACAAAGCAGAGCAGGGATGCTTGCCTCAGCTCCATGATGCTTGGGCCCTCATCTGGGAACACTGGAGTGGTTGAGGTGACTCAAATGTCTTAGAGATAGAATCATTAGAAGTTTCTTCACTGAAACAACTGGTACCTGAGCTGAGATGATTCAAAGGCTATACTTAGCTGGGACTGTTGACCAGAGTGCTTACACACAGCCTCTTCATGTGGCTTGGGCTTTGTGAGAGTGTGGTGGCCTCAGGGCAATTCATCTTTTTACATGGTGGCTCAGGAATCCAAGAGTGAGTATTCCAGAGAACACAGTGGACTCTGCGTGGCCTTTTCTGACCTAGTATCACTTCTCCTGTATTCTATTTGTTGAAGCAGACACAATCCAACCAGATTCAAGAGGAAGGTACTTAGACCCCTGCACTTCAATGAAGGGAGAAATTACAATTTTAAAATGGTCACAATGTAGATCACCTCTTAGAGTCTCAGAATTCTTTTTGGACCAGGTTCTTGTCTCATATAGCTCTGTACCGTGCAAGGCCTCCTGCTAAATTTGAGGTCACCAGCAGTCAAGGTCTAAAGGGGATTTGGTGGACTGCGGGGGTAATTTTGTGGTACAAAGAACCTCTTTTCACCAAAATGCATAGGTGGTCATGACAGTTTAGCAGGCGTCTTCCTATTCTACTCTTCTGTATCTGGCAATGCATGACTCTAGACCTTCTAGCTCTGCTGGTAATAGATGACTGCTATTTTCCTTCTGACACACAAATCTGACCCTTTTATTTCCCTGCTTACAATCCTTTAAGGCAGTGGTCCCCAACCTTATTAGCACTAGGGACCAGTGTTCCTATGAGAATCTAATACCTGCTGATCGGAGGTGGAGCTGAGGCAGTGATGCTAGCGCTGGGGAGCAATACAGATGAAGCTTCGCTTGCTAGCCCACCACTCACCTTCTGCTGTGTGGCTTAGTTCCTAACAGGCCACAGACTATACCAGTCCGTGGCCCAGGAGTTAGGGAACCCTGCTTTAAAGATTCCCTGTCATCTCTAAGATGAAGACCAAGGCCATCAGCATCATATTTAAGCCTCTTTATGATCTGGCCCTGACCACTAAAATCTCAGATGCTATGCTATCATTCGATATATGAAAGCCAGTATTTATAAAATTATTGAGTTCAAATCCCAGCTCTGCTGGTAATTCCAGCTCTGAGGATAGTCCACAATAAAAATGGCCTACTTTCCCCTGGTTTCTCTGTTCAGCCAGTTCTAGAGGGCCCAAGCCTGCATATGGGTTCTAGTTCTGGAGTCAATGCTCATTTTTGGTTTTCTGTAGAGATGCCAGCCCATTGATCTGGATTCTTCCATGCCTCACGTTGAATTGTTTCTCGGGGGCCCTGTCCTTTTGGGGAGTCTGTCTGCCCTTCATTATGGCCTCTCAGTCAATTACACAAATTTTCATTACTTTCAATCTCAAAACAATGAAGATGGTATCAAGAGGCCCTTTCATCCACAGAGACCTCACTGAGTATACACATTTTTGGTGTATAACTCTGCCCAGCAGCATCTAAGGTCCATACAGCAATCAACAGCTCTGACACAACCTGTTTACAGGACCTGAGCCCAGGTTTTGATTCAGCCAAAATTTCCTAGCACATCTGCATTCAAATTCAGAGGACTCATGGATTCTTTGAGGAAAGGTTGCTGGATAAAATACAGATGCCCAGTTAAATTTGAATTTCAGATGAATAATGAATATTTGCATAAATAATTATGCATTTTTGTGGGAAGAGGTTCAAATAGCCTCAAAAGGTCTATGTCTAAGAACTCCTGATTTGCTAAAGGGACTGATGCGCTTGAGTGACTCAGAATGGGTGGGTAAAACTATTGCATGTAACATACTTTTATCAAAAAAACTATCATTTATCTGAAATTAAAATGTAACTGGGCATTTATATTTTTTACTTGCTAAGTCTGGTAACAACTTTAAGTCCAATCACAGCTCCCTTAGGTTCACGGATTAGAGTAAGAACTGGTATAGATGAGAAGAGACCTAAATGTGGTTCTTTCTTTTTTACCAATTTATATAAACATCTAAAATTGAAATACTAGGGTGAACTAGAAGAGCCATTTCCAATTCTTTTGACGCTAATCGTCAGAATATTATTATCATTATTGTCTAGGTTTTACATTGTTACAGTGACTATGATATTGAGTGTCACCAATTATGGCCAGGAATTTCCCTGTTAAATTCCTAGAGCAGAAAGATGTTGCATAAAGTTCTTGAAATCGCAGACTTGGAAAATTAAGTGACATAAATAGTAGATGAGGAAGAAAGGGAGCTGAAACAAGTAGTCTCAATTATTCAACAATCCCCCGGGGCCTGGACTAGAACTGTGAGAGAAAATTGAAATCTTCATTTCTACCCTACCACTAAGTCCTACCACATTCACCATTTAGTCCTTTTTCTCTCACCACTATTTGTAAATCCATAATCAGGCTAACCCTCCTACTAAATTCTTTCTAAAACAATGCATCTTTTCTTTTCTGTAAATGTTGTTTGAAAAAAGAAATACGGTAAAAAAGAAATTTCAAACGGTGAGAATGGTTATACAGTGAAACGCAAGTCTCCTTTCCATCTTGACCCCTAGTTCCTGGACCGAAGGTTCTTAGCTTGGCTTAAGGACCGGAGTCTAAGAAGGGGTTTCTAGAGTAAAGTGAATTCCCTGCATGCATGATTTTGAATATACTCATAATTGTGCATTTTTGTGAGAAGAGGATCCAAACTTTTACTTGAGCCTCGAAAGGGTCTGTGCCTAAGAACTCCCGAGGCAGGATTTGCTGAAGGGACTAATGCGCCCGAGTAACTCGAAACGGGAGGGTAAAAATCTAGGAAAGAGTCGTCCCAGTATAAAAGCCTACCCTCATCCACCCAACTGCTGCCCCTTGGAAAGTACGTTCTCTCAAGAAGGGATCACTTCTCTTCCCAAGTTTTCTGCCTGCCGCATTCCTTCCCTCCAGCGCGTCGGCGTGCGCTGACGTCATGACGCCGCACACGCAGTCCCGCCCCTGCGGAGATCGGCGCTGGGACGGAACCCGGGTTTCTCTCAAACCCGGAATGTGAGGCCTTGGCCCGCTGTCCCTTGCACTCTATCCTGCTGTTTCTCCTGACCTGCGTCCGCTGCCGCTGTCCCACAGCTCGCCCCGGAGGCGCCAGGGCAGCCGTGCCCTTCTGCCGTGTGCCCCCGTGGCTGCCGCCACCCCTCCGAATCCTCCGGAGCCGCAGAGGAGTTCGCTACGGAGGGAGGCGGGGGCCTTCGGGAGGAGGAGGAGGCGGAGGAGGCGGAGGAGGAGGGAAGGAAGATGGCGGCCGTGGAACTAGAGTGGATCCCAGAGACTCTCTACAACACCGCCATCTCCGCTGTCGTGGACAACTATATCCGCTCCCGCCGAGACATCCGCTCCTTGCCGGAGAACATCCAGTTCGATGTTTACTACAAGGTACGGACCGTGGGCCTGCTCTCCGCTCTCCTGCCGCAGCCCGTGGGACCGCACCCCCTTCCACGTCTGCGAAACCCCCGCGGTTAACCCCTCACCCCTCGTAGCAGAGTCGCCTCCCCAGACGTCTGGTGCGGTCTCCGGGTTGCCAGTGTAGAAACACCTTATCTCCATATCCTCTATCTCTCAAGCTCTTGGACCCTGATTGGTGTCTCTACCTCCTAAGTCTTTCCCCGTTTTGGTGTTCCCTTCTACACTGTGGCCCCCTTGGGTAGGCCTTGCGTGGACTTTATTGCGCGCCTGTCCGACTCAGTTCTTCCCTTCTAGCCTGTCTCTTTGGTATATTTGCTGTTCTCTCTCCCTACTCGTGTCAGCATCGGCTGGACTTTTTGCTTTTCTTACTCCCTCCCCGCCCCCTTCCTACTTCGCTCGCCGCCCTCCTTCTCAAGTATTTTTTTCCTGCTTCGTGTTCCTTGGTTTCTGTTTTCTCATCCTATTTGGGAAGGAGTTGAGGAATTATTGGAAATAGTCGTGTACCTTATTCCCATAATCTTTATAGGTTTGGTTTTCATTTGTATTGGGAGTTGACTTAAGGATCTTAATATGGGAGTGGTGCTAAACTAATTGAAAGGGAAAAATTTTGAAAGAAAAGGTACTTTAGAATTTAAATTATGTTCATGTATTTGAAAGTTGCAGTCTTGCAGCATTCCTAAATCGCTCCCCCTCAAAAATCTGAACAAAAAAATCTTCAAGTCACTCTCCAAGGAGTTTCAAGGGTAAGAGTCTTTAGACGTGGACAATTTTTGCAGTGTTTAGAGAGGGAGGAGAACTTTATGGACTTGGACCCTCCCTTTTCCTCCCCCCCAACATTTGAATGTGAACAGTGGATTTATTATTCAGTTCTTGCCTTGAATTGGCGTGGATAACTCCTATTCTCCAGTAGCCACCCATACAAATTTTGACCAGAAGTAGAATAGGATTTATTTTTTAGATCTTAAATATTTTCTCTTGATTTGTAAATTGGCTGGGACAGTGTAAACTGATATTTAACAAATGTATATCTTCTTACATACGTATGGTGTTTTATGGCAGTTTTATTGGGAAAATTGCTCCTGCTTTCTTCACCCCAGAATAGTTTTTCAGAAAGCAGCTGACTTGCATTCTACTGAATCCAGCTGCTTTACACCAATTCTAAAAATTAAAATGTACCTCCCTCCCCGAATATTTAGAGAAGATTCATTTTGGTCATTCATTTTATTATTTGGAGGTGGGGGGAATAGAGAGAAGAAACCTTTCCAAATCCCTTTGAAACACTGACTTTTGTGTGTATCTAAGGAAATTTTTTGTATTTAAAATTCATTCCTTCCAGGAAACGATGGAGTTGTCTTTCTCAACCTGGGAAGCTGCAACTTTTGTATGTGTGCTGTGTCCATTTTATTAAATCATATGTAATCTAATACACTTTTTTTAAGAGAAAATCATTGGAAATTTAATCAAAGTACATTAGTAGTTGAATTCCCTCAAAATGCTTGGATGGATCTCTTCTAGTATCTTGATTCTAATTAAAGCTCTTCATTTGAAGATATATTATTAGTGAGTATGAACAGATGGTGCTTTTGCCACATTTTCTGTTTCACATAGTTCACAAAGTTTTAATTTTGCTTCTTTTTGGTATACTTTTACTCGTTAATAGTTTTATGTCTGTTGGAAGTAAGGCACTTAACTGCCAAGATAAAAAAAAGTATTTAATGTGTGCCTGGAATGGTGTTAATTGTTTTTACACGTTACCTTGTTTAATCCACATAGTTAAACTGTAAAGTGGAGTATAACCCTGTGTGAGATGAGAAAGTTAATTTAGTTAAGATCTCATGCCTAGTATTTAGTTCCTGTGGTCCTTGCTTTCTTGCTTGGAAAGATTTTGCATCTTAAGATAGTAGATTATTTTGATGAAAGACATTAAGAACTAATTTTCAGTTAGCTTTTATAGAAGTATAGTGAGAGTCCACTTCAGTCTTTAAATATAAAAAGGAACCTTTCTTGCTTTTATATACCGTATCAACACATAAGAAACTTTTTAAGCATTTAATACCATAGTAATATAAGATATTCATCCTGTGCCCAGTTTGTGAAAATTTAAAGGAGCTTACTGTTTACAGTTTTCTCCAATTTAGAGCCAAGGAGAAATTCATCCCTCCAGCAGTCTGAACTTTTATCAATAGGCATAGTCATAGACAAAATTATAGTATTTGTGGAACCAAAAATTCCCCCATCCCTCTTGATTTGTGTAGTCCAGTGTCACTGTTAATTTTTGTCAGTAACTTCAGATGTTGGTACAATCATGAAGCTTTAGGAGGTGTGATTGTGGAATGAATGGGAGGTAAAGAAGTAGGCATGTCGACTGCTCCCTAAGAGGGGGTGGGAGAGAGATGTTTATATGTACAAAGGGTAAAATGTGAAGGGATTTAAAAAAAAAAAAGACTGGAATACATTACAATATATTTATTGGCTGAATGGCATAAACCAAAATAGTGAGAAGTTGAATATACAAATGAGGTGGGAAATACCTTGTGAAGCTGTCCCTGAGCAGGAGCATTAATTAATGAGTCATGCCTCTTCCTTCACTGTGCATAAATTAAGGTATCAGTCTTCAGCTGGAGTTGGGAAAGAATACTTCTCTAAGATCAGATAGAGATGAGGACATAAAGTATCAACATAGGTGAATTTGCGAAGAATGGTTGTCATGAATAAGGAGATCATGCGCTGCTAGTAAGTGTGGGAGTGGTGGCTTTTATGTAGGAAGGTTGAACTGAAGTTGAAAATGTCCACAGACATGTGGGAAAGGAAGTTCATCTAAAAATCTGTTTTAAAAAAATTGGCAAATGGTATAGATGGTTCAGTAAAAATCAATACCCTACAAAATAATGTCTTTGAATTTGAATTATTTTTATCCAAGGACACTCAACCATTTAGATGTAGAAGTTGATAAGGTGACTAGAAGGAATTATATAATATATACCAAGTGAAAGTAAATAAAGGGAAGGGTTGGGTTCTTTAAAGAATGACGTGTATGATCTTTTCTTTCTATTTTAACTGCTGAGTGATATATTTTGTGTTCTGTTCCAATTAAAAATTTGTGATAGAGTTAAGTTTTGGCTGGATGAAGTGTTTCAGTAATGTGTGGTATTGTTTTCAGATGTAACTTAATGATTTTTTTATTATTTTAAGTCTCATATTGAAAACTATATAAATTCATGTCTGAATTAGCATTAGAGTTAGTCATATTTGACAGCCAAAGAGTTAATCATCTTTTCACATAAAGAACTCTTAGGATTAATAAATTGACAATGAAAACTTTATGGGGGGGGGGCTTAAAAGAACATAAATAGCTTGCCACTGTACCTTGATGAGACAGTAATGTGTTATAAATATGTCAGCTCATCTCATTTTAAGCTGTGAATTTATCACAATTTGAGTCAGACTCTCTGACTAAATATGAAGGAAACTGATAGGAGACTGATTAAATAAGAAGTTCATCTATAAGAATTAATTACATGAGACTTAATAGGCCATGGAGGTCTTGAAGATGCACAGTGTTTAGAAGAGATGTGCGTTATAAGACAGTTACATATTAGGAAACTACATGTTTTGAGATAGTATAGCATTGGCGCAAGAGAAATTGATGTATAGAACATAGTAGACAGTCTAGATAGAAACCAAAGCATTTTTAACAATTTAATATATGATAAAGTTATGAGACAGTGCTATCCTTTAAATAAATGGGGGAAACATCTAAAAATACCTTGGGCAACTGGCTATGGGGTAAAAGTTAGACCTCTACTTTTGGTATGTGGTCATACCAAAATGAATTCCAGGTGAATTAGAGATTTAAATAAGGCAAATGATATTATAAAAGTATTGGAATAAATTATTGGGTCAATATCTTGCAGTGGGAAATGACAAATTTCTTCTTTAAAGAAATTTTTATGGTAGTTTACAAATTTTTAAAATGCTAAACATTATAAAAATAAGTAATATAGTAAAGGTGAAGTCTTCTGTTACTCATCTTACCAACACTGGAATGCCATCTTGGCACGGAGATTTTTCTAAGCATGAAACCAAAATCCAGAAGGAAAAAAGAAATCCATACTTTTGAGTACATAAAAAATGGGGGGAAATTGTAAGCACATTTTAAAAACTGTGCAAATGACAACATTTGACAGATAAGGTGTGAATTTCCTAGTACAGAAAGATCTAATTAATGAGTACATAAAGGAAAACCAACTCATATCTGGAAGACCTGAACAGCCAGCGCATAGAAGAGGAAGATATGAATAACCAATAAACATGAAAAGATGTTCACCTGAGCAAATTAAAAATTCAATATCAAGCCAAGGCAATCATGAAGAAGAAAATCTGAAGGACTTATACCACCAAATATCAAGCTATGAGAATTAAGATAATATGGTATTGGCACATGGACAGATGAATAGGTCAGTGGAACAAAACGGACAATCCAAAACCAGACTGGTGTATAATACTGTCACTTGTTTTATGATAAAAGTGACACAGTGGTACAGTAGGGAAAAAAATGAAATAAATGGTGTCAGTCAATTAGGTATCCATATAGGAGAAAAAGTATCATGACATTATCTTACACTGTATACAGTAATCATTTTGAGATGAGTTGCTGATCTAAATGTGAAAAAGTTTTTTAGGAAAAAAGTTTTCACTCTCAGCAAAAGATTTATTAAATAGGATACAAAATGGGCTAAATATCATAATTTGATAAATTGACCATACTATGATCGAGAATATCTTTTCATCAAAAGATACCATTAAAAGAGTGAAAAGCCAAGCAGCAGAGTGGTAGGAGATACTTGAAGGGCGTATATCTGGCAAAGGACTCATCCTGCATCTAAAGAACTATAAGAAAATGAAAAATACCTCCCCCCTTTTTTTAAATGGGAAAAGAACTTGAATAGGCATCCAAAAAGAGGATATTCAAAAGACCAATCAAACTTTCGGAAAGGGGTTCAACCTTATTTTGTGTTTAGGGAAATTGTTGTCCTACTGTACATTCCTAAGAATGTCTAAATGAAAAAGGAAAAAGTGTTGATAAAAATATATTGCAGTCAAAACTCATACACTGTTAGTGGGAATGTAAATTGATAAACCATTTTGGATTATCTACTTAAACTGAATATATACATACCCTATAACCCAGTAGCATTATCTGCTAAAACTGAATATACACATACCCTATAACCTAGTAATTCCATTTCAAGATATATACATTTAAGAATGTTCATAGCAACACTATTTATAATAACCAAAAAATGGAAACTGTCCAAATGCCTATCAAGAGGAGAATTAAATATTTTCTGGAATAGTCATATAGTGGAATATTATGCAGTGAAAATGAATGAATGTACCTGTTTGAAATAATATGGTTGAATTTCACAAATGTCACAGGATTATAATCCAGAGGCCCCCAAACTTTCTCCCTTCACAGCACTTGATTCATGACACCCCTAGGACAAAAAGAAGCACCTAACAGTTTTGTTTATTAAGTAGTTAGATACAAACAACTTAATAATACTTATGTCCTAACAGCTTAAGAGACATTTAAAAATAATGCACAAAAAATGAAAGAAAAAACGTATTTTTCCTTCATTCTTAAATAGCCACAATTACTCAGTTATTTACTAGTGGGATATGTATATTTATTGGGTACAGTATAACTTCTCAAATCTGGCAATCATATTGGACACCTTCATTTTCTGTTCTCTGTTGATTTTGTACATTACTTTTTATAGCAACGACTGCAAGTGCAGCTTCACAAAGATAAAACATTAACGAAAGGAATATAGCAATCTAGTAGTTGGTATGGTATAATACAGGTATTAAATATTGTTTCTCAAATTTAAAATATCTTGCAGTGCCCCAGGGCACCTTGATGCAGTTTCCACAAAAACAAGCAAAATTAATAAAAAGTGTTGGAAGTCAGGAGAGGTTACCCTTGGAGGTTAGTGACTATGTAGGGATACGAAGGGAAAAGTCTGAGATTCTGATAATATTTGGATGTTGCTTACCTCTGTGTTCTCTTTTGAAATTTTTTTTGAGCTTTACATTTTAAATATGAGTTGTGTGCTCTGTATGTATGTTATACTTCAATAAAAAGGTTTAAAAAATAACATTCTTATTAGATTGTCAGTGTTTAAGGATTCAAAACACTTACACCCTTTAATCCACAATATCATTTAAAGTCTTTTTTTCCTTACAGGAATTCTTGTTGAGTGTGCCGAATATTCTATTCAGGAATGTGCAGTACAGTGTTGTTTATGATGCCCAAAATTGGAAACAACTATATGCTAATAAATTAGGAGTAGAATAGTATACTCTAGTTATATAGAATGTATATACTATGTACACTGGGATAGAAATGCCAGAGCACATCAGGTGGAGAGAATGAAAAGCTTGTTACAAAGTAGTATGAATAGCATACTCCTGTTTATTGATTATTTTTAAGTGGGAGAGTATGTGCTACATTTGTGTATGCATTAAAAAAAGAATGTAGAGGAACACAAAATTTTAATGGTGTTTACTCAAGGGGTAGGATCGCCATCATTTTTTACTTTGTTTATATTCTCTTTAATTTTTGGATTTTTATGACCATATATTATTTTGATATATTAAAAAAATATACTTGAATTGTTAATATCTGGGAAACAAAGTTGTAGTAAGAGTGGAATAACCTAAAAACCGATATTCTAAAGTATTTTCAATATGAATGAGAAATAACTCAGTAAGTGGTTTTTAAAAAGAAAATAAAATAATTCAGCTAATTAGTTAATTCACTAGCTAACCAAATCAAGAAACAGAAAGCTCATTCTCAAGAATAAGAATAAGAAAGAAAAATCCACCATAGATACAATAGTAAGGGAAAAAATAGCCCTTTAAATTGTAGAATAGCTTCTTTAAATGTAGAATAGCTTGTATTATTCCATGCTAATCCATCTGAAAGCATTACTTAAGTTATGTTTTTAGGAAAATACAAATGACCAAAGAGATAAGTTAATAGACAAAAAAAAAAACATGAAAGAAATTGAGAAATTATACTTCTCCCTTTGTCCATCTGCCTCCACCTTCAGTGTACAAACAAAAACTCTCACCAACTTTAGATATTCCTTGGGTATATTCAAAGAACAGTTGATGCTGCTGACATTTAACTTGTTTCAAACCAACAAATGCTTTCCAGTTAAACATTTTTTTAAAGGTCAACGCTGATACTTACATAACACTGATACCTAAACCTAAGATAGCAACAAAAAGAAAGTCTTTAAAAAACCTCTTTTGTGTATTGTGAGACAAAATTTCTAGATAAAATAAATAGGAAATGCAAATCTGTTCATATAAATTCACCATATTAATAAGACAAAAGAAAACTATCATCATAATATAAAAATCTAACATTTCTTCCATTAAACTTCTAGTAAGGATACACATTGACATTATAAACATACCTAAACAAAAGGTAATATATATACCTAAACAAAAATACTAAGTGGTAAAACACTTAAAGCATTCTGATTAAAATCAAGACTATAATGTATCTTTTATCAGTATCATTAAATCTTTTTAAGTAAAGACTTTCAGACATTTCTGGAACTGTATACAATATATTCAGCGTTCTTGAAGTGCTAACCAATGCACTTAGAATAAAGAAAAAGTCAGCAAAATCAACTGGAAAACTATAGCAATAAAATAATTCAGTAAAGGGGATGATTACATATTTATAATTAAAAATTCAATTATTTTTCTGTATGCAGTATAGGAAAGTATATATCTTACTCAAAATAACAGAAAACATGCCATGGAGTCAATCCAAAAAGGTGTACAGAAATCCAAAAGCTTTCAATATGTAGAAGAAACATTTTGTTCCTAGAATGGAAGATTCAGGGTTTTAGAGAGATGATTTCCCTCTAAATATATATTCAATGTAGACTTAAAATCTAAAGTATTCTGGAACGAGTAATAAAGCGTAATGGGGAAAAAAAGTTTGTAACTTAAGTAATGAAGGATTAAAGTTTATGAAACACTCAAAACTACTGCAGATCAATAGAGGACTGAAAAAAAGAAATGTTCCATTATACTACTAGTGATTTTCTCTAGATGGTAAAATTGAGTGTTTTTCTTCTTTATAAATTATTTTCTATATTTCTTATTTTTTCTAAAAACGTGTATGTAATTCTTATGAATTCAGAGTAAACAAATGTTTTAAAGTTAACTAGAATACAGAATGAGTTTTCTTACAGAGACGGAATGTGTTTTCTTATAACTATACTAACTCTATTGCCTCATGGATTTTCACCATAGATTGGTAGTGAAACTAAGAAGAGAAGCTGAGAAACTTACCAAATATAGAGGTCACTTATATATTTTGAGTTATATATGGCTGGTTATTGTTGTTAGATCTTATATTTAACTAGATTTTTTGACTTTCCATGTGTCATGGTAGCATCTTCCACCATTATCACAATTATTCTATCTTGAAAATTATACCATTGACCCATCAAGTGAGGGATAGAGTTAGATTATCTGGGTGCTAGATGTAAATTCATCCTTGTAACGATTGGAGAAAAATCTCTTTAATTTCTTTTTTAATGGATAGTAGACCTACCAATATCTTCATACGTGGACAGAATATTTAAACTTTAGTATAGGGTTATCCTCCCATTGGAATGTTAACTATCAATTTCTTGTGCACTGTAATAAAATGGACATGTTCACTTAACTTTTTGGCTTACCAATAAGCAAAGCACTTTGCCCTACAAAATATAAGTAATCATGTTGGTCAGTTGTATTTTTTTTAATGTATAACATAGAACAGGTGAGTATAGAGCAGCTGAGAATTTTTAATGTTAATCAAGAAATTTAAATGTTGGCTTTCAGAAGAAAGCATTTGTCTTCTAATTACCTAAGCATTATTTTAATTTACTCTTTTAAGATATGGCACTTGCTTTGATCCAAGAAATATAACCTAAGATCACAGTGCAGTCAAACAACAGATAGATAAAGGGCATTACATATGATATACAATATAATATAAGAATAAAGTAAAGGAATATCAAGTTATAGTCCAGAGTGAATTATTTCAAAGCTACATTTCAGATGACTTTTGAGATTAGAGAATGAGAATAAATGTATAAGTGAAGATAGCACATGTATATTAAACAAAATGAAGTATTCTTTTATTTTAAAGGTAGATGATATTTTTGTTTAGAGAGAAAGGATACATTCTTTTTTTAAAACTTTTTATTATGGAAAAAATTAAACACAAAAGTAGACAGAATAATGGATCTCCATGTGTCCATTGCCCAGCTTTAACAGCTACTAATTCTTGGCCAATACTAAATCTATTCTCCCACCATCATTCCCCTTATCTGTAGTATTTGGAAGCAAATCTAGACATATAGTGTCATCTGTAAATATTTTCTTAGCCACCATACTTTTATAACACTTAAGAAAAGTTAACAGTAATTTCTTAACATTATTAAACATTCATTGTTTAAATTTTCAATTATTTCACTTGTCAGATATGTATATATTTTAACAGTTTGAGTTAAGTTCCAGATAAGTTCTACACCTTGGCTGTTGGTTGATATATCTCTTAAGTCTCTCTTGATCATATCTTCCCTTTCCATTTGTTTTCACATCTTTACATTTTATTTGTTGAAGAAACAAGATCCTTTGTCGATGCTACAGCGTTTCCTGCAGTGTAGATTTCAGTGGTTAAAATATAAAACATTTTCGTTATCCCTTCTAGGTGTTTTAGCCTTTGTCTTTGTGGGGACTTCATTAGTTTCACTAATTTCAGGCCAGTTTTTAATGCCAGGTTCTGGGGTTGGGGGTCTGTAAATTGTCTACGTGGTATAAATTTGGACTGTATACTCGCATGTGTCTTAGGCTGGAGGTTTTAGTTTTTCACAGCAGACTTTGTGCTAGGGCTGTTGGAGATGTTCTGGACTGTTTTACTCCTGGCTTTAGGCAAGCAAGGATCTGCCTGGACTTCTCCCTATTTGATCTTTGCACTCTAGCCCAAAACCATTAAGAGATAAAACTATTGTTTTCCTTTCTTCCTGTCATTTTTGAGTTTGTGTCTTCTTAATTTTTGGCAGCTATGGAGTTTGTGCTCTTGGTTTTAAACTCAACTATTAACCCAAAAGTTATTTTATCCAGCATTTCCCTGCATTTGGAAAGGAGGAGGAAGATTTTCACATATGTAAGTGTAATCTGCCATATTGCCGGAGGCTACTCCCATCCCTCTTCAAAATTCAGCTGAAATTTTTCCTTGGAGTGGGTATTTTGTGTTTCTAAAACACTCTGCCTGCCTCCATTGTGAAATCCATGAACATTGTTTTCATGCTCAGACAGATTCTAAGTTTATTGAAGTCAGAGAACAATTCCTAATGACTGTATTGCTGTGGTCACCACCATATCTCCAATACCTAGCACAGTGCCTTACACTAACTATGCTCCTGATATTTAGTAAAATATTGTTAGTAAAAACAATAAATAGAATGTTCCTAGTTGTAGGATTCTTGGCTTTGATGTGAAAATCACAAAGATAAAGTAGATTCAGTAAGCTAAGAGTTTCATCTAATGAATATGCCAGGGTTACTAGGTAAAAGATTAGATGTTTAAAATAGGAAACACCTATTTTTGTATATAAATTTAAGCAGCTGTTATTTAGAATCTTTCTGATTTTTCCATTTAGATACTGGCACTTTATGTTCTTCATGACTAGCTTATTAAGTCTACATTCATGTTTGTTCTCAGTTTATTACATGAACACTGTTCTGTACAGACTACTGTAGAGACAGGAGGTATGACTGCCTAGTAAATATTTCTCTTTAAGGTGCTTACATTCTGTTTGGGAAGACAATGAGTAACAGTGTATGGAATCGAGGGTTTTCCCCTTAGTGTCAGATTCATCAGATGAATTTGGGAAGTTTCAGTAAATAATGGTAGAATAACTAAGTACTTGATTTTCATGATAATCTACAGAGTTGAGACTGTCTTGATTTTTTTTTTTCTTCTAAGGTACTGAGTTACATCCAAAGTAGATGGCTATCAAGTTGGATTATGCATTCAGAATATATTGAATGTGTACCTAACGCTAGGCACTGTGCTAGGTACTGGGGATATGGTGGTAACAATAGGTGTTTCCTATTTTAACATTGGTTACATAATAGAGTGCAGAGTGTAATGGAGTGATGTGTTTAAAAAATTAAAGTGAATGTGTGCATGCATATCTTGATGCTACTTAGTACGGGGGCAGGGGCAGGGCACAAATAATGTATCATGAGAAAGTATAGATGTGTTTAAAAAATTATTTAAGTGAATGTATGCATGCATATCTTGATGCTACTTAGTGCGGGGGCGGGGGCAGGGCACAAATAATGTATCATGAGAAAGTATAACAGAGAACAGAATTTATATTGGGCAGTTAAGTGATGCATTAGTTGAGACCATTAGGATGAGTTACAAATTAACCAGGTGAAGAATCATGATACTAGAGCTTCATGTGGAGACAGCAAGCAGCCTATGTGTGCAAAAGTCAAGTGCCATAGAGCTAAAAGAAAGCTAATGTGGCAGGAATGTTAGGGAATAAGGAAAAAAAAATGTTAAAAGATGAAGTTTGAAAGATAGGCTCAAGTCAAATGACTTTTAGAGATTTGTAGGCCACATTTTGGATTAAGTTCACCTCGAGGGTGCCATTGAAAGGTTTTAAAGAAAGAATGTGTGGACAATTGATCACAGAGGCACAAGAATGGTAATGTAGAGTCCAGGTCTACCATTTTATCGAATATCATTCTACATTTTTAAAAAACTTATGCATACGTAATGGTAGATATACAATTTAAAAACAAAAGTAGAATTATATTACTCAAACTTTCTGAAACTTGTTTTATGTATCATGGTAATTTTTCCTTGAAAACAACCCTTTTCATTTCTGAAGATTTTTGCTCTTTAGTGACTCTCAACAAGAGATTAACAGTTCCGGAATGTGAGTGAGCTATAGAAGTTTCATAGATTTGTATGTGTGACTCTTCTGTTATTCTTAGACCATAGTTTTGGATGTGATTTTTTAAATAACTTTTTCTAAACATTTCTAAATTTTTGTTTTAGGGAATTACCCTAGATTATGTGTATGCTAATTTGATGTTAAGACTAATAATGTTCACTCTTAGCCTGTGGTAATTTTGAATTGGTTTGGAAAGCAGACATGCCAGTTTAAAATCCTTTGGATTAAGGAAGGCTTTCATCCTCATGTTTATCTCCCAGAGTTCTCCGGATTTGAGGCTGTCTTGCATTTCCCTTGCAGTAGTTGCCTTCAGTTTTCTATAAGATCTTTACTTTAGCCTCTGAAAGCCCTTGCTTTTAAAACATCACCAGGAGTGTCACCTCTTTGTGTGTTAAAAATATCAACTCTTACACAAGTGTTACTAATATTTTAGTTTTGTTCTTTTTTGTTTATAGTATTTTATATTTATGGACATTTAAGATTGTTACATAATCACTTATTTATGATTTTCAGCTGTGATATAATGCTTAGAAAGGCAATGTGACCAGGTAGCTTTTGAAACTCATAAATGTGGAATTTTTATCTGTTATATTTTATCAGGAAGCATTTTTGTTTCCCTATTTTTATGCACTTTATTAACTATTTTTCTTCACCATTTTAAAGTGATTCTTTTATTATATGTTAATCTTTTACATGTACCTAAGTCTGCTTTTGAACTTTGTACTTTTTTCTGCTGATTGTTCTGTCTTCATACTTATACAGTATTGCTTTAATTGTATTTTTATTGTCTGTTTTCATACTGTTGAGAAGTAGTTTACCTATTTCTAAACATAAACTTGTTTTTCCTTACTTTCCTTAAGGTACCCATAACTACCCATAACTAAAAGTAATTGATACAGTTCTGTAATAGCTTCATTATTCAATGGATGCAGAATATAGTATTAAACACTGTAATAATGAACTAAGACAAATTTTTAAAAATCTTATATGAGAATCATTACCAAGGAACCTAGAGCCTCTTTTCTGTAAGCTCTGTTCTATAAGATGTATGAATATATAGAGATTAATATTTAAATCTATTATTTCTATAAAAATGTTAAAAATTTCCCATTATATGTAATTTTCAAGAAGCAGTGTAGTGTAAGATATTAAGAACATGGATGTAAGGACAGACTGCCTGGGGCCAGATTCTTACTTTGTTCGCCACTTCCTAATTGTGTGATTTTTGAGCAGGTTATTTAACTACACACCTCAGTTTTCTCATTGGTAGAAAGAATGAGTTACTTAGAAAAAGTACTTAGAACAGTGCCTGGCACATATAAGATCTCTGTAAGAATTAGATGCTATTTTTATTCTGGATCAGTATCCAAAAATTCCATTCGTAAAATGTGTAAATTTGTATTTTTGGATAAACCTGGTTATTTGAAGATGATTTCAAACAAATCATTATCTTCTCTCCAAAATTTAAATGTGAACCCATTTTTAGCAAGAAAAATTGAACAGCTGAGTAAAAAAAAAATGCTTCTGTTTGTTAATAGGGTACATTTACAATATTTTTACAGTTGTACCTAGGGTAGCTACTTTCCTAAATTTTTAGTTTCAAATCCCATTTAGTAGGATATATCACTTTTTAGTCATTATGAGATACTATGAGTTGTAGAACAGATAAAGTTTAATTGTCTTTATTTGACTGGTGAGTACAGGCATAAAAGTTAAACTAGTTTTCATTTCTTCTACTTCAAAAAGAAATCCTAAGCCTTAAGTTTGCTAATGATGAATTATTTTAATAAGAAGCTAAGATTTTTTTTTGTTTTGTATTGTTTTTGGAATATGTGTATATATTTATTTTGATAACTGCATTTGTTCTTCTGTCCCAAATCAGAAATTTACACATTGTTAAGCTTGAAATAGGAATTTGGTCATAAATTGAGCTTTATTTTCCCTAAGTTATTCTCTGTTGGTTAATAGTCAAAATAAATGTGACAGTGATTAATAGTAGTAAATTTTACTGTATACATTCCCAGAAGCTCTTTTTTTACAATGGTAAACATAATCATCTCTAAAAATAGCAAACCTTTCCTTATGAAGGTTTATTAATATGAATATCCAACCATTATGTCAAGATAACATTTCTGCCTTCCCTTCCTGATTTTATGGATTTTTCACAGTAGTCATTATTGATTTGCATTAATATATATACCTAATTTGCCTTGTCTCCATTGTGACTAGTGACTTATGCCCAAGAGTTCACTGAGTTTGTAGTATGCTTTTTCCCTGTGCAAAATTAACTGACCCATTAGGCAAATGAACTCTAGATCTTGTCTTCTTCTGAAACCCTTGTTCTTATCAACTGAACTAAGTGTTAAGTGCCTGTAATATAAAGTGAATTAATGTAACAATTCCTGCCTTCTAAGGTACCGTATGTAGCATACATAAATTCAAAAGCATTTGATGAAGCTCAGGTAGGGGAAAAAGGGGCCAGTAGTATTTGTCTCCTTTTAACTATTATGCATGTATTATTTGTGATAAACATTTTACATTTATTAAAATATTTTAAATAAAAGTTCTAAAAAGTCAAAATAAATAAGTGGTTGGCAATGATTAAAAATACTGTTATCCTGGATTCTTTATCTTAAGAGCTCTTAGTGGGGCATATTGATCAGTTCTGGCTTCTGGACATTATCTCTGCTATCATTTTGATACCTTTACGTTAACTATCCAGTTTTGTTTAAGGAAAAAAGTTAATTTTGAAAGTTTGTTGAATATGACTTTTTTATATTTAATAAATACATAATTAACACTTTGTAGTACTTACCACGTACCATATACTGTTACAAATATTAATTTCTATCATATACAACTATTAAAATGCTTTTACATGAATTGTAGACATTTGTTAGTGTTACATTTCTCTTAGCACAAGTATCTTTCCTGATATTACTACGAATACTTTAGTATTCATTAAATTCATAAAATATTGTTATTCACATTATTCATAAGTATAATTAAAGAAAACATGAGAATTTGTAATGATCTTTTTTTTTTTTCTCCCCAGCTTTACCAACAGGGACGCTTATGTCAACTGGGCAGTGAATTTTGTGAATTGGAAGTTTTTGCTAAAGTGTTGAGAGCTTTGGATAAAAGGTAAATTTGTTTTTTTTTTTAATTGTGGTAAACTATACATAACCTAAATTTTATCATTGTAACCATTTTTAAGTGTACAATTCAGTGGCATTAAGTACATTCACAGTGTTGTGAAGTTATCAATACCACCATTGCTTTTTGTGTTGGAGAAAACAAAACCAAATTTCCTGTTGTGGCTATTATCATGTAGTTGGAGCCACATGTAGTTGTAGGCAATCTGGCCTTTGATTGTACTTCCTGGTCTCTTCAGTGTTCTTCTCTAAATTTGCTTTAAATGCCATTTCTTTTTTCTAACCCACATTTCTAGGAAAATAATATAGCTTTACAAAATACTGCCTATCCCTAATATAAGTATTGCCATGTTAATTCATTTGTTCAACAAATTAGGTAAATACTTGTTAAATGCCTAGTGTGTCAGTCACTGTTCTAGACGCTGGGATTACAGCAGTGAAAAAGATCTGTGACATCTCTTCCTTACTGATTTTGTGTTTTAGAGAGGGATAATATACTGAACCTATAGAGAAACTTCTTGGTTAGTTGATTAATTAAAATTAATCTGTGAAAAAGTAATAGATGAGAACTTGATTTTGGTAAAAGAGGGCTTTGGAAAAACTTTAAAAAGCATTCTTTAAGAAAAGATTACTTGGATTTGAATTTCTCTCTACAGTTCTAAACATAGCCTTTTGGGTATATTGAATGATGCTGCTAAGAACATTCATAGGCAAGATTTTGTGCGGACATAGTTTTCAATTCTCTTGTATATATAAGTAGAGTATATACATATGATAATCCTGTGTTTAACTCTTAAACTGTTTTCTACAGTGTCTGTACTATTTTACAGCCCTACTACCAATGTATGAGGGTTCTAATTTTTCCATGTTTTTGTAATTACTTTTTTAAAAAAATTATAGCCATCCCTAGTGGATGTGGTATGGTATCTCAGTGTGATTTTGATGTGCATTTCCCTAGTAACTAACGATGTTGAGCATCTTTTCTTTTGCTTGTTGGCTACTTGTATATTTTCTTTGGAGAAATCTCTGTTCAAATCCATTGCCCATTTTTTAATTGAGTTATTGTTGATTTATAAGGCAATTTGATTTTTAAAACTTATGTTAAACGTTTTATCTTTGTTGCCATCAGTTTATACATACAGGATCACTCAGCGATCTAGTAAAGATAGTAGGATAGATAGTGATTTTTTATGGCCTCATAATTGATAAGGCAAAAAACTTTTTATCTTATTCCATCTTGGAAAATAATGGTACCGTTATTTTAAAACAACAAACTAGGCACTTCTAAAAGGACAAAATACGTTACGCTTATAAAATAACGTTTTCCTTTTCTTTCAGACATTTGCTTCATCATTGTTTCCAGGCTTTGATGGATCATGGTGTCAAAGTTGCTTCAGTCTTGGCCTACTCATTCAGTAGACGGTGCTCTTATATAGCAGAATCAGATGCTGCAGTAAAGGAAAAAGCCATTCAGGTTGGCTTTGTTTTAGGTAAGTAAGTAATGGTAAAATAGAGGAGTGTTTTATCCTGTGACATGACTCAGAATTAAACCTGCCAACAATAAAGGATTCTCCCAGGAAATTCCCAAAGTTTTCATAAGAAGGCACTGAGAAAAACTAGGTATGATTTATTGACTATTAACTTTGTGCCAAACACTGTCTAGGCATCGCTGTACTAGGCATTTAAATCCTATCTTTCTGAATCTCGATCACATTTCAGTGATGTGTTGGTATTAATAGCATTTTACAAATGAGGAAACAGACTCAAAAATGTTAAGTAACTTGCTCAAGTCACATAGCTAGTAGCAGAGCTAAATTTAGAATCCTGTATGATTTCTATATGATTTCAAGCCACACATCTTTCTGCCATGTCATGCTACCACCAAGTCCTTTTACCAGTTTACTGTTGAATGTGATGTGGAACTTAATCCTTTGGGGTCCTCATTTTTTTCATTTCTAAAATAAGGGTAATTCTGTATTTTCTCATGGGAGTATTATAAGAACACTGACAACATAAACAGAAAAGGATTCTGAGAGAGTTTTGTATGCTATATATATAAAAATATTGTTTAATGTTTCTAACATTTTATATGGTTTTCATCAAAACTATGTAGATAAATGTGTTTCAGGCAATTATTTATTAAAGTTATAGTTATCTTTCTTTTTACTTAAAAAAATATTTTTTGAAATGAGTATAGATTCACAGACACTATCAAAACCAGGGAGTTGGTACTGTTAACTAGCTGCAGGCCTTATTTAATTTTCACCAGCTTTTACGTCTATGTGTGTGTCTGTGTTTCTGAGCAATTAATTCCATGAAAAGGTTCATGTAACTATCATTACCATGGACTACCTTTGGTTTTTAACTTTTCACAGTGTGTACATGTACATGTTTTCTCTGTCTCACGTAAGTGCACATACACTTTCTTTGCCAAGTTTTTATGATCATTTCCTTCCGCTTTAGAATTATTCTTTGTAGTGGTCATAGACAGATTGCTGGAGAAACTTCAGAACATTCTTTTTTGAAAAAAACCCTCAGCCTTTATCCTTTGTTAGTCCTATGGAATTTAAATTGCAAGAGAATTGTGACCAAAGAATGTCTGTAACAATAGTGTGTTTGTGATCTTGATGTATATTAAGGTTGATATCCCTTTAGTCCTAAATGGTCACGTAAATCTCTGTGGGAGAAATTTAGTATCAAGTAAGGTAAAAGACAAAATGGCTAGTGTTCATTGAGATCCTCTATCTCCTTTGTCATCTCCGCAAACACTTATACCAGTCTGGCCATTGAAATGAGCCAGGTTGAAGAAATATCTTGAAGATAAAACCAAGTCCTAGCAAACTCAGTTATATTATCAATCTTAATCCTAAAATTACCAAAGCAGTGAAAATATTTCATACCAGAAAATAATGTTTTAAATAAATAGTTCACCCATATAAAGAATTCAATTAAAGATTTTTAGTGTATTCACAGAGTTGTGAAAACATCACCACAGTAAATTTTAGAATATTGTCATCACCCCAAAAAGAAACCCATATGCATCAGTAGTCATTCTTCATTTCTTTCTTGATACCTCTAGCCCTAGGCAACCATCAGACTACTCTCTGTCTCTATATGGATAGTCTGTATAAATGGACTCCTAAAATACATGATCTTTGCGACTGGCTTCTTTTATTTAGCATAATGTTTTCAAGGTCCATCCATATTGTAGAGATAGAATTTAATGTAAATATTTTTAAAACAGGTGTTAAAGAACTGAAAAAAAGGGAATTACCTGAGTATTATGGACACAGCACCTGCAAGAATCAACTAGCACACCTAGGGCTTAGGGAACCAAAAGATGGGGTTGGAGTTAATAAAATTCAGAAGCTCGAGGAAGTGCCTCACAGAGCTGGCTACTTCTAGGCTACAGGTACCGCAGAGCTCTGAGAAGGGTCCCATGAGTTTAGAACCTAGATCTCTAGGATCAGCACCTGGCTGATTGGTGCTGGTGTCTCTGACCTGCGTTCTGTGAATCTGGTTCTGCAAGTATTGGAAAATTGCAACTGGAATTTGCTTACTGGAATGAATTTCCACTGCCAGGGTAAAGAGCATTACCCTGGGGCATTACTGTCAGCAGGAGCTTTGCTGACAGAAACTGGAAGCAAAGGGGAAGGAGTTATCTCTTCTGTCATCATCTCTTCTCTCCTTTATCTCTCATAAGCATGCATGCCTCCTTTTGGCAGCGACTACAGGGAGCCAGCTGGCAAAGGTGACATGTGGTTTGCAGAGTCCTAGCCAAAACAGAGTTTGATTTGAAGCTGAGAAACAATAGCCTAATAAACAGCACAACACATAGTAAATTGGGATGATGAGTAGAATGTTGCTTTGTATGAATATGTATAATAACCATATTATTTGGTCACTTGGTGAGGGCCCTAAAATGTTCTAAAGCATACTTTTCTCCAATTAAAATGGTATTTGGTTACATACAGCTTTGATTAAACATAAACCATGAGTCAGAGCAAAATATAATATTTTCTTGACTCAGACACTGTTGACACTATTAAGACTTGGCACTTAAAAATGTATTAAACAATTTTGAGGGTCAGGAACCTCTAAAAAGATGGATAATATCCTAAGGAAAAGATGCATTAGGACTATTAGAGGACAGCAATTTAATTTCTAGCTAAACAAAAATGAAATGACCAAGCATCACCATCTCTTATCTGTGTATCCTCAGTGGTATACCACTTTACTAAGAAGATTAAGTTTATTCAGATTTCTTTATCTTTTTGGGGATTGGATAGGGAGAGATTATAAAGTTATATTTACCCCGCAAGATGAAAATATTAGGATTATTAGAATATAGTGGCTAATTAACTGGAAAATATCAACTCTTAGGCCATAGAGTATTCTTAGAGGATTAATATTCTTGACTCCTTATTCAAGGTTTCAACTTTAATCTACTTCCTCTGGTTTGAAAGTTTTTGTTTGTTTTGTTTTTTTAATTTTACAATTAGTATATTTTTTGAAGGCTAAACACAGGACTTTAATATTGTGGGGTTTTTTTTCATTTTAGATAATATTCATTATAAGCATGTCCTTTTAGCTTTCAAGTGATTTATTAAATTATCTAAAATTATTGGTTTTTCTTGTCCTTTAGGTGGCTTTCTTTCTGATGCAGGCTGGTACAGTGATGCTGAGAAAGTTTTTCTGTCCTGCCTTCAGTTGTGTACTCTACATGATGAGATGCTCCATTGGTTTCGTGCAGTAGAATGTTGTGTGAGGTAAGTTGGAACAGATCCTACAATTATATACTATAATGATACTTAGTGGCTTTTATAGTTTTAGCTCTTCTAAGTGTACTTCAACATTTGAATAAACTTCTAAGGTTATATTTATATCACAGTTTCACTAGTCTGGCCTCTACCATCTCTCACCCTCAAAATACAGTTAACTTGTTATAGTTAGCTTAGCTTAGATTTCAGTATTATGAACTAGATCATGTATATATTTTTGTGTTTTGTCATAGAACTTGTTTGTTCATTCATTCAACAAATATTTATTGAATGCCCGATATGTACCAGGAATTGTGCTAGGCAGGATGCTAGGAAAAGAAATCCACTCTTAAATACCCCCGCTGTGTTTACATTTCAAGAATTGTGCTTAACAAGATTAATATTTTATTTACAAATAACTATGTTTTCTTTAAAAATACTTTTTTAACAGATGTACTTAAAGGCAAACAAATCTAAAATTAACTCTTGCTTTTACTGTCCTTATTTTTTCTGTACATGTAACATTTAGTTTTAGCTACTTTCATACAGGTTTTTTCTTTGTGTCCCAATTTGATTTGACTTTTCTTAAAAAGAATTTTTTAATAAAGCTGAAGAGAAATAAAAATAAAGTTTAATAAAATAACAAATTCCTTGTCCTAAGTTAACTGAAGTCTGGTCAATTTACTGAATTTTTTAATATTGAATAAAGCATTCTATATCCTTGGTATCTTAGAGATGAGTTAATTAAATCCGAACCCCTGCAGAGCTAGAATATAGATTTTATATAAAGCCATTGTTGATTTAAGCTAAAATTGAGTAAAGTTCTCTAATTTTTCTTTAAACCAATGGAGTTCAGTCTTTTGAGGTTGTCATTACCCGTGTTTTATACTGTTAGAAAACATTAAAATCCTGAAGTTAATTTAGTAATGTGCAAACTTAATTATATGTAATATTTTAGAAGCCTGTAATAACTTCACATAGATATTTTAGAAGTGTACGATAAATTATAAGAATATTTGTGTGTAGAAACTATAAAGGAATTGTTATTTGGGCCTATAATTTGTAGTACTGATAAAAAATAATCTGTGTTACCTTTCTTCCCCTCTTCTTCATATTTTATTTTTGTTAGGTTAGGAGACTAGACTATCTCATATGGGGTGTGAGGGGCTAGTTAAATGTTTCTATGTGTATGAACTAGTTAGTTTGGAACAGAAATGCCATTTTGTATGATTTCATTGTATATTCCTCTTTAAAGCAGTCTTTTGACCCAAAGGTAAAACATTTTCTTCTTGTATGTGCTTGTTTTTGTTTTTGTTTTTTTCATAGAATCAGAGGATTTATTTCACCCAAATAACTAACGTTTCTTCTGTCTGTCTAATTTTAAGACTATAAAAATTTTGCTTTTGTGTAACCAAAAGATTTAGTTTTCTCACAGGACCAAGGTTCCTTCTTTCCTTCCTATTTTGTCATCTTTAGCATGTAGCTCACATTATGTTTGCAAGTGTTATAAGCAGGGAGAAGGGCAAAAGGCTCATGCAAGCCGAGCCTGCTTTTTCCATTTCTTTTTTTCAGTCAGAAAAAATAGCTTTCCCAGAAGCCTCGCCTTATCTCTTTGTTTAACTCTATGTGAAACTGGTAAATTGGGACTCATTCAGCACATCCTCTAACCCATGTAAGATGGTCAAAGGAGCAAAACATTTTTTGTGTGTGTGCATATTGCTTGTTACCCAGAATGAACTCGTAGGTCTACATTAAGGAAGGAGGAGAGGGGAATCTTGGATAGGTAACTGTCAGTCCAGTGGCATGGCTGTCTTAAGAACAGACATATCTGAAATTAGAAAAATACCTGGACTAAGAAACAAAACTATTTATAATATCAGCTTATTGCTGGCATACCTACACATTTTGTTCTCATGAATTTGAAATTTCTAAGTAAAGTTTGTTTCTACACAACTATACTTGCCAAATTCTTGGTAATTACAAGCGTATTTAATATAATTTATATGTAGTATATAGTTTTATCATCCCCTTAGTATTATTTAGAAAAAAGATGAACTTTTTTTTTTACTTAGCTTTTTTTTAAGGCAGAAAAATTTGGGGGATTAGTTGACCTTGTGTTTAATTGAAAAAGAAGTATTTTGCCAAACAGATAATAATGAAATCCTTTCACTAATCTCAGGGAGCTTTGAGCTTGTTGCAAGAGTTAAGAGTATGTTCTTTAACATCACAAAGCCAGTTCTTATTTGTGGCTGACATGGAAGCAGTATAAAGCAAATGTCACTGAATCTTCTTGTTAAATCCGGGATCATTTCTCAGTCCTTGTTGTATTTCTTAAAGACTCTGCTCGTTTCCCTTTACTCATTTTCTTTTTGATAGCTTTGTTTTTTCTGCTTATGTATGTGTCTATTGCTAAACAAATTTTGAAAATAAGGAAAACTATGAAGAAGAAAACTAATGTTATCTATAACTTTACTGCCCAGAACTAACCACAATTATATTCGTGTATTTTGGAATTTTAAGTGAAAAAAGTAACTCCCTGAACTGGGTGTGGAGGGTGGGGGGGGATGGGAGTGGGAGGTAATTGAATCTAGATTGAAAAAGAACCCTGAGCCCTGGGCAGTTTATTTCCTGAAATACAAAAATAAATAGAAATTAGAAGCCAGAAGACAATAGTGGTATCACAGTTATTGAGAGAAAATACTATACTACTTTACCAACTTTTATGGCAAAATAAAGAATTTTCAAGTATACAGTGACCAAATATACCTACATGTACTTTATTGGGGGGAAATACTCAAAGAATTTCTCTAACCAAATAGAAGTTCAATAACATCTCAAGATAAGGGAAGATGGTATAGGAACAGTGGTAAACAATAAATATAATATATAGTAAATGAAATACATGTAGATGAAATAGAGAAAGAACGAAGAACAAATTGGAAATTTGTAATAGATCTTAAGGATTTTTTTCAAACTAGAAAGAGATTTTAGAAATAATATAAAACAAAAATTCTCAGTTACCACATACTATTCAGTGTAAGTAAGAGCCCCGCCCCCCAGCGTTATCCCTTAATAAAGAGTGTTGCCTTAACAGAGTCCTTCATGTTATTTGATGTTTTTTTAAGTCTGTTATTTTGAACAGCAAAGTAATATTTAGTAAAGAAATTTTAGCCTGAAAACTCAGCTAGTGCCAATGTCAGGAAACTCATAGAGAACACTGGGAAGACTCTTCTTTTTAAGGAAGTAATGGAATTTAACATTTAGAATTATTATGGAGATCATAGCCTTATGTTAGACATCTTTATTAATTGGGTTTTTAAATATTACTTTGAAATGTGATACAGTAAGTGGTTTGATTGTGGAGATTATGGATGTCCAGTTGTCTTAGGAGGAATAAAACAACCCAGCAATCCTAATGTTTGCAAGTGGTTGCTGGTACTTTTTAATAAAATTTCTAGTGACATCATACCAGACTCAAAAGTGCTGAATATCAAGTGAAAATGTTTTACTCTGAAAAACTGTTTGATGTCTCAAAAAGTGGTTATGGTGATGATGAAGATAAATGTTTTAAGATGCATGTGAATAGTTGGATAAAATTGTTACATAAATTAAAAGGAGGAAAAGCAATTTTTGAAAATTTAATTTACATTTTAAATATGTGTGCATAATATGACAAGCTGATTTAAATATTATGTTTAAAAATGTTATATGTATTCCTAAAACTTGATATATTCAAACTGGCCAAAAAACTTTTGGATGGAAAATGGAGGCTCATATTATTATATTCAGGTTGCTTTATATTGGGCACATTCGATAGCCTGTTTTTAAAATACACATTTGGGAAAGTGTAGTAGTACAAGTGTTATAAAGATCTCATCTTAGTGAGTGGAGGAATAGCAGGAGTGGGTATCATTACTTAATGTTCAAACATTATCAGTGCTAGGGATAGATATATAATGGCTTATATAATGGAAAAAGGCAATAGACATGCCAAATTAGAGTAATGGGAATAGGGGTAAGGATGATTGAAAACCTGACCAAGCTAGACATAAGCAAAGAGAATGAGAAAATAACTATGATAAATGAAAAATAGTATGAAAAGATTAAAACCAAATATAAATAACAACACATGTAAGAGGGCTCAATTCTTCTGTCTAAAGATAGCAACTGCCAAGAGAGTTAAAAAGTGAAATTCAGCTATATATTGTTAATAGAAAACAAATATTAACAATAAAGCAGAATTCAGGATAAAAACTATTAGTCGATACAATGGAATATTAATATTAAATAGTAAATTCACAAATAGGTCATAAACACATATACAGCAAATAAGATACAGCCATCTACATAAGCAGTGTGCCCTAAAAATACAAAGAATATGATAAAAAAAGGTAATCTACAAGGCCAAGTACCTTCAGGGTCAGTTAATTCAGAATTCATAGAGGTTATTAAGGAGCTAGTTTTTTCCATCTGTCCGCTCTTGTGTCCTCTATGCTGGGTTTTGTCTTTGGCCAGCTCCCCAGTGGTTATAAGAATACTGCCACGGTTTGAAATATTCCATGCAGATTCCACTCTGTCCAGCAGAAAGTAGGCTCCCTTCCCTTTAATGACAGGGAGCCTTTCTCAGAAACCATCCAACTTACCTGCCCTTGAGTCTTATTAGCCAGAGCTAGGTCCTTTGGTGACTTCTGAATCAGTCACTAGAAATGGAATGAGATCACTATACTGCGATTGGCTTAAACTAATCATAAGTTACTTCTGAGTCCTATGAGAAACGGGTCAATGCCTGAACAAAATTAGGGTTCTGCCAACAAGCATTAGGTGGGGAAGTAGCTCTTGGTTAGGGAGCCAACAGTGCCTGCTATGTCACAATGCTTTGCTTCCTCCACTTAAAATTAAAACCACATCAGACTGACAAAGAAAAAAGAGAAGATGCTAACAACTAAAATCAGAAATAGGAGTCAGGACATTACTACCACCATCCTTCCAGAAATAGAATCATAAGAAAATTGATGAATAATTGTATGCCAACAAATCAGGTAATGTAGATGCTATAGATAAATTCCTACACAAATTATCTAAACTGACCCAAGAAGAAATAGAAAATCTCAACAAACCTATAACTAGTAGAGATTGAATCAGTAATCAGAAACCTTCCAACAAAAGTCAAGAGCCATAAGACTTCACTAGTGAATTCTACCAAATATTTAAAGAAGTAACACCAATCCTTCTCAAAGTCTTTCAGAAAATTGCAGAGGAAAAAATATTGCCTAACTCATTCTGTGAGGCCAGCATTAACCTTATACCCAAGCCAGAAAAAAATGTCATCACAAGAAAAGAAAATTACAGACTAATATAATAATGTCTGTGAATACAATGCAAAAATTCTCAACAAAATGCTAACAAATAAAATTGAATAAAAGTATTATACGCCGTGACTAAGTGGGATTTATCCCAGGAATGCAAAGGTGATTCAACATAATAAAATCAATGAATATACCACATAAATAGAATAAAGGGAAAAAAACCAGTCATCTCAACTGACCAAAAGACATTATTTGACAAAATTCAACACCATTTCATGATGGAAACATTCAGAAAACTAGGACTAAAAGGGAACTTTTTCAATATGGTAAAGGGCATTTATGAAAAACCCAGCTAGCATCATATTCAGTGGTGAAAGACAGAAAGCTTTCCCCCTAAGATAAGAAGAAGACAAAGATGCCCTCTTTTGTACTACTATACAGCATTGAAAGTTCTAGGCAAGGCAGTTAGACAAGAAAAAGAAATAAAAGGCCTCTGTATTAGAAAGAAGTAAAACTATCTCCATTCACAGGTGAAATGGACTTCGTCAAAATTAAAAACTTGTACATCAAAGGACATTAACAAGAAAGTGAAAAGACAACCTATGAAAAATATTTGTAAATCATATTTCTAATAAGGATCTAGTATCCAGAATATATTAAGAACTACAACTCAGCAACAACAAAACAACCCAATTAAAAATGGATAAAAGACTTGATTAGACTTTTTTTTAAAGAAAATATGTAAATGCCCAATAAGTACATGAAAAGATGTTCAGCCTCATTTGTCATTAGGGAAATGCAAGTCAAACATGAAATACCACTTTATATCTACCAGGATGGCCGTAATTTAAATAAATAAGTGTTAACAAGAATGTGGGAAATTAGAATCCTTGTGCATTGCTAATGGGAATGTAAAATGGTGCAGGTGCTATGGATTATAATTTGGTATAGTTTCCATTTCAAACAGTAGTTTAATTGATCAATTAAATAGTAATTGCTTTGGGCAATAACTATTGATCAAGTGATTTTATGTTATAAAAATAAAATACTGTGGGACAGAGGGTAAATGGGAAATCTCTGTACCCTCTGCTCAGTTTTACTATGAACCTAAAACTCCTCTAAAAAATCAGTTTATAAAAAATAAGAAAATACCATGCTTATGTGGTAGAGCCACATTTGGAGAACCTTGAGAACCTGCTGAATGTTGAAGCAAAATTAGATCCGCAGTTGGACCAAAAGTTTCTTGGATCCTGCATCCTGCTCAGTGTCAGCCCAGATGGACACACAGACCCTGAAGAGTTTCCATATGTATGTTTGTTTTGCCCTTTTGTTTCAATAAACAACCAGCAGGAACTAGAGGAAATACTAAGCTGTGCTTTTCTGGCATGAAATACTTAGTTTGCTACCCCCATCATATGCCAGTTGTTAAATAATTCCTAGAAACTTTTTTTAAGGGGCAGTGCCTATAGTGAAAGTTGTTGGAAATGCAGTCTTACTATTGAAGCAGTGAGAGGTGAACACTGTTCTTTTCATTCTCTAAATTTATGGCCTATGCCCGGGTTTAGCCTTATTCTAATTCAACCATTTGGATACTATGGAATCCATATTTCTAATTCCAGCCCTTTATTTTCCCAAGGATTTTTTTTCCCCTCTGAACTGTTGTGATATCTTCTGTCCTGGGTACTTTCCACTCTTGGCTTTACTATAATCCATTCTCCACACTGCAGCCAGAACAGTCTTTCTAGAGTTGCACTGTCCAATATGGTAGCCATCAAACATGTGTGATAATTTAAATTTAAATTAATTAAAATTAGAAGAAATTAAAATCGGCCCTCAGACACACTAGGCTCATATCAAATACTCAGAAGCCACTTGTGACTGTTGGCTATTACATTAAGCAGAGCAGGTATAGAACATTTCAGGAAGTTCTGTTAGCACCGTTCTAGAGCATAAATCAAATAATCTCTCACTATTGCAACTAGAACTCATTACTGTGGCCAGCAAGGCCCTATAAAATCTTTCTTATCTATGTTTTCTCATCTCTCTTTACATAATCCTTTATTCATAAGACTCCAGACACATTAGCCTTATTTCTGTTCTTTGATTATGCCAGAATTCTTTTCCCTTTCTCAAGGCTTTTGCATTTGTCCTTCTGTTGGGAATGTGTTTCCCCTCAGATCTTGACATGATTGCCTCTCCATCATTTAGACGTCAACTCAAATGTTAGCTCCTTATGAGAATTCTTCCCTAAGCATCTCCTTTATGAAGCTCTTAATTATACTACCCTATTTTATTATCTTCATAGCATTTATCTTTCAGTGAAAGTCTTACTTATTGGTGCGTTTGTCTACTCTAACACACTTCTCCTCACTAGAATGAAGCTTTTGTGGTCATGGATTCTTTCTCTCTAGTTTACCACTACATCCTTTGTCCCTAGAAAAATGACAGGCACATAATAGATGCTCAGTCAATACTTGACTGTGATAGTCTCAAAACTTTATCATTTAAACTATCATATTTTATTTTTCAGTTAGAGTTGGTTTTCGATATTAATTTCAGATATACAGCATAGTGGTTAAACATTTATATAATTTACAAAGTGGTGCCCCAATTAGTCTAGTACCCACCTGGCACTATACAGTTATTGTAATGTTATTGACTATATTTCTTGTGCTGTATTTCACATCCTCATGACTGGTTTGTAACTACCAATTTGTACTTCTTAATCCCTTCACCTTTTTTACCCAGCCTCCCAAACCCCTTCTCATCTAGCAGTTATATTTATTTTTATTGTAATCTTTTACTACATTTCAGTTCTATTTTTCTATATTATTTCTATTGTGACAATAGTCATTGCAAACTACATAGTCATTAAATCCACAATTTGACAAAGCGACACTGTCTCTTTATTCTGTATGATGACACTTACTTTAGCATGAAAAGTCGGTATACTAAAACATTTTTTCTCTTTTGATACTTCTACTTAAAAATATAAATCCAATTAACTCACCATTCAAGAGTAGCCTGATAAATTATTACATTTATTTCTGCATGAAGTTAGAATTTGGTGTTATGAAAGATCATTCAGAATTTTTTATTAACCTTGGTGTATTATTTTGCTTGAAGATTTTAGTCTTTTCTTAAAACATAACTGTATGGTGAGTGTTGGGAGGATGCAAACTGCCATTGGGTAGTATTTGCCACCTTATTGAATAGTCCTGGTTCATTTGAAGTTTTCTGTTTTCCCTGACAGTACATAGAGATTATAAGATTGTTAGAGTGTTTCTCATCCTGGGTTATTGATAGGTTAATATTTTTGGTGTAGTTAGAAAAATAAAATTTAAGTGCCTAGTTTTTTAATACTACTAAAGAATGCTTTCTAACCTTTCCATACTTGGCTTTTTAAAAAACGATTTTTATACCTTGTTCCCTCTCAGCACTGAGCATTTTCAGAAAATTGTATTGGTATGATATGTGGACATAGTGTTGTAGCCAGCATTATAATAAAACATACATGTCCAGTCCTCACTCTATTATCCTATCTTGTGTATCTCCTATTACTATCTATACCTCAGTCTGACCTGAAGCATTTCTCTACTCTTGCATATCATTAGATAGTCAGCATAGTTTTACAGTTATTTTATGTAAAGAACTCTGTGTATTTCCACCGTAGGGGATAAAGGTTATATCATTTTCTTTGTTTTCCAAATTTTTTATAACGAGACTATTTTGAATTTGGAACACAAAGAGTTAAGTGTTAGGTGTAGCTAGATGTGTAGCACATGCTGAGTGCACAAAGTAAACAAATATCTAGAGAAGATAAGGAATGAAAGTTGGATGAGATTAATCCTGGATAGCTTTCTGGGACGAGTATATACTTTTTTATGTGCATTAGTTAATCCTAATTTGGGACAGACATATTTTCCAATGTTGTCATCATTTCTTGCATCTAGTTACCTTAGTCATTTGGGTGCTACATAATGATCTGTAAGAGTTTATCAGGTCAACCATGCTGGAAATACCAAACAGAGGAATGTTATTTGTGTTTTTGCAGATTGCTTCATGTGCGAAATGGAAACTGCAAATATCATTTGGGTGAAGAAACATTTAAATTAGCTCAGACATATATGGATAAACTCGCAAAACATGGCCAGCAAGCAAACAAAGCTGCACTTTATGGAGAACTGTGTGCACTCCTATTTGCAAAAAGTCACTATGATGAGGTAAGCATTTTGAAGTGCATTTCATTGTGACCAGTAAATATAAAACAGGATAAATCATATACTCTCGTATTTCTCTTAGCAGATCTCATTTTCACACATTAGGTTTACTTAAAGCAGTACACATTTGTAATGGAATATTTAAAATCAGTCAAAAGAAGTATTCCATGCGATGGATTTTAAACATACGTGTATGATTTAAGACTTGTTTTGTTTTTGTTTTTAATTTGACCAATGCCGAATTATTTCAATGAGCATGTTCTGTTTAATAAACCTTTATTGGATGTGTAGCTCTGGGTGAACTCTCATAACTTGAAGGCATTCATTTCATTGGGAAGCTAGATTTCATTTATACTTTATCGCATTGTTTTACTCTTTCCTCTTGGCTTTATACTATTAAATTAATGCTTTTGTGGTAATGAATACGTAGATGAGAAGTGATCTTTATATGCTTAACTATTTTACTTGGTGGTTTCATTTATGGAAGAATATCAATTTCAGCTAGCTGTCATAATAATTTAAAATTATTTCTATCTTGATATTTGCCTCATTAATATAAACTATTCCATGTTTAAAAGAAAATTACAATTAGATTGAAACTAGAAAATTCTAGAATAATTAAGTGATGTTATGCAACTTCAGTGCTTATCCTCTTTTTAATATTTATATAAGAAGACATCAAACCCATGTGTAAAAATCTAAAATCGTTATCAGCATGCCTGCAATTTCTCAGGTGCCTTATGTATGTTCTTCCAGTTATTTTTGATGCTGAATTCCTATGTCTACTGAATTGTGTCGATGGATTGATTTGCTTCCCTTGTATGTAGTGACTGTTCATAGCTTGTCAACCCAGATATAAAACTTGTCCCCTTTCTATGATTTTGATACACCAAAACCAAAAAAGTCACTTTACTAGAAATGAGATTGAGATAAACAGCAACAGTTTGAGCATTAGAAATGCCTATCTTGAAAGTTCTTCAGGTGCCCCACTATCTTTTTATAGCTCTACAAAGACATTCAGCCATCTTTGGTTCCTCTTTCATTGTTTCTTCTCATCCCTGTTTTTCATTCTGCCCTCTGGAACTCTTACACTCTTTTTTTCTGTTACATAGTGATTCATATTTTACCTTTCTTTACTCTCATACTAAGCTCCAGGCCCATCTTAATATGCCTAGACCCATCAATGTATTCAGTGGAACAAAAGTGCCTTTTATTTACCAGTTTCCACTTTCTTTATTAGGCATTTACTGTTTAATTGACAGTTATTTTCTTTCTACATTTGGATTGGTAGTTTATACTGTGCCTTATTCATTGTGTTTGCAACTTTAGCACATTTGTGAGGAATGTTTAAGTCTATAGATGTATTTTGGATAATTTTGATAGTTTATTTTAAATATAAATAAATTTGTCATTTGTATCTATAGAAAAGTACACAAATCTTGAGGATATAGTTTGATGAATTATCTCCATATTCTGATATTAGTTAGGGTAAGCTAGCCTCTTCTGAGATAATAACACCTTCAAAATAGCAGTGGCTTAGAACAATGAAAGCTTATTTATTGCTCATACTGCATCCTGTCCTGGGGATCTCTTTGACTCTGCTTAACATTATGTCTTCACTTTGATCAATACCCCATGTGGTAGAGTAGTTTCTATCTAGAATATCACCAGCCTTGGAGCAGAGGCAGAAACATCATGGGGAAGTACTACTGGCTCATAGAGCTTTCTCCTAGAAACAGCACATTTCTCTTCTCATATTTTAATTAATATTTCAATTGGCTGAAGGAAATCACATGACCGCTCTTATTTTTAATATGAGAGGGAAGTATATCCTTCCCCAATGTAGGGCAGTAAATATTTTAAAGAAGTGTTACAGTCTACCACAGTTCTAAAGATTTTACCTTATTACTCTAAAGCAAAATCAGCCTATTCATTTCTTATAAACAAACCAGGATTTTGGGCTTAAATCCCATGTATTGTATTTTTGCATCAAAATTGTTTCTGAGTAGCTACATCATTTAGGTGCTATGGAAAGGAAGAAAGCTTGCAGAGAAAAACATGTTTCCTTTCTGATATTTTCTAATTTGTTCTCCCTCCATTCTTTGTGATCCCTAAAATTGTTTTGTTTCTTTGAAGCGTTCTTACTATCCAAAGTCATTTGTTTTGTGTTTTTTTTTTTCCTTTCTCCTACTACGCACTAAGAGAGGAAGATCAATAATTTATGGTTTTGTTTCTCACTAGATGCCTAGATGCTAGCACCTTGCCTGGCACTTAATCTCTCTGCACCTCAGTTTCCCATAATAATAGTACATATAGGGCTGTTTTGTCAGTTAAAGTTGTTAATGCACATTAAATGCTTAGAACAATAGCTAGCACAAAGGAAGCACTCAGCTCAACAGGCAATTAAAATATAATAAGCATTACAGTAGGGGAAAGAAAGCACAGGAAACCTAGTCTAAGGCTGAAACCTGAGAGACAAGGTAGGTGGGTTAAGAGATTGGAGGAAGGAGGAATGTATATTCTAAGGCAGAGGGAACAGTATGTGCAGAGGCTTCTTGGCAAGAGAGAACATGCCTCTGATTTCCTGAATATGTGTCATATCCAAAGAAAAATGTAGCAAACATATTTTCAGGAAAACTTAGCCTTGGAGAGAAAATTGTAATTGTAAATATTTTGCGTGTTCTTGCTCAAGTACTTGAAAGCTTGCAGGAAAAAAGATCACAATTATTTCATTAAATACTGTCAATTTGATTTATCACAGCTATTGCTTATATATGTGTGTGTGTGTACCTTTTTTTTTTTTTTAAGGCATACAAATGGTGCATTGAGGCAATGAAAGAAATCACAGCAGGCTTACCAGTCAAAGTTGTGGTAGATGTTTTAAGACAAGCTTCTAAAGTGAGTATAATGTTAAAATTATTAAATGAGTAATAGGATTTAGCAAGCTTTAAATTTGTTTTAGTTAACCTATTATTTAACAAATTATGTGTTGCATACTCCCTGGACTATCAAGATCTATTTTTTAAGTTCGTATATTCAGTTTTAGAATTCTGGTTTCTAAAGCTAAGCTGTCTTGCATATAGACTTTAACAAATTTTTCTATTTCCAGAAAACCTGTAAAAAACATCGTTTTCATAATTCAACTCACTGAAGTAAAGATCAGAGTAGTATTTTGGTGCTATTCCATCTTGAATTTGTTTTTGTTTTTAAACCTTTACAATAACCTGAATTTCTTATGCTACAGTATGGGCTTTGGTTACTCTTCTCCTAAAGGATAGCCTCATATTTAATCCTTTGGTTATAGTATTACAGTCTCACAATATGACAGCTTTTTTGTACTTGACCTTAGTGGGTAATACTTATCTGATTTTTCCTTTAATGTTTTTCTTATTTTGTAAATAAATGCCTTAACTCTTTGAGGCCATTTAGTAATACTTAAAAATTGCTGCTTTGGTGCACTGAGGCTTTAAAAACATTGTGTGCATTTTAAATATACTCTTTCTACCCAGAGGTCTTTCAGTTTTGAATATTTTATTTTGGTTGGTTTTACTTATGGAAATTTCAGTTAGAAGAAAGATTCTAAAATTAGAGAAGAGTCTAAAATTTCTGTGAAATTTATTTAAGTCATTTTAGAGAAAATAAATAGCATAAATATTCAGTTTATCAGAGCTAGAAGAGGAATATTAATATGTCTTTAAAACATTGGATATACAGTAAATATAAAGACAACTGAATATATGCAAGAGTTATATTTTTATGTGCAGATGATATTTAGAGTTTAGGCTGTTGTCATGAATCAAAATATTTTCAGAAGTAAGAGGAAAACTCAAAATTTTGTGCATTTAAAAATTGTTAGGTTTGGAGTGGGTGAAAAAGGTGAAGGGATTAAGAAGTACAAATTGTCAGTTAAAAAATAGTCACAGGGATGTAAAGTATAGCATAGGGAATATAGTCAATAATATTGTAATAACTATGTATGGTGTTGGGGGGTCTTAGTCTTATCGGGGGATCACGTCATGAGTTATATAAATGTCTAACCATTATGCTGTACACGTAAAATAAATATAATATTAAATGTCACTTGTACCTGAAAATGTTTTCTGTCTTATACACATATAGTTATTTAGTCATATATATATTTAGATGAAAATTACAAAATTACACTCTAGAACTGGGATAAAAATAAGTACTTCAGAAAATAATTTGGTGTACTTTCCTCCCCTGTTTTATTTTATGGAAGGATGGAAGTATACCAAAGTTATAAGGTAACTTTGTTATAACAGGTTTGTATTGGGCATAGCTGTCAAAATTTTAAGTTTTATAATTTCCCAGGGTATGTACAGATCCGTTTATAATAGAATTTTCAAATACTTGGAAGGAAAGTATTATAAATATTACCCTTTTTTTTTTTTTGACCATTATAGTCTGATTATATAAACTATACTGGTTTTAGCACACTGAGAGCTATTTAATAATTTTTTACTTTATCTTTAGGCTTGCGTTGTAAAACGTGAATTTAAGAAGGCAGAACAGTTAATTAAACATGCAGTGTATTTGGCACGGTAGGTGATTGTTATTAAAAATACCATTTTAAATTATATCTCTACTTTATATACTAATAGTTTTGTGTCTTTTTTTAGGGATCATTTTGGATCCAAACACCCAAAATATTCTGATACACTGCTAGATTATGGGTTCTACTTACTCAATGTAGATAATATCTGTCAGTCTGTTGCAATTTATCAGGTATGTTAATAGTTACACTTTTTTTCTTTCAACCTAAATTGACTTGCTGACTTGTATTTGTTTATGGTGTATAAACCATTCTCTAAAAATAGCTTTCTGAGCCCCCTCCTTATAAACGGCACACCATTATTTTATTAAATGATACCTAGAAAGCTTAAAAGTTAATGTTTTAAGAATTCAAGAGTATAATCCAAGAAGAGTTGTTGAGTGTGGGCTCACATTCGAGTACTTTTACATTTTTCATTTAGCATGAATCACTATAGCTGCCTTTATGATAGCAAGGAGAGTCAATAGCAATTATTTTAAGCCTTATCGTAGTCATTCTCAGGTAAATGATGTGTTATGCCATTGCTCTAGACAAGATATCCTTGATTTTATACACCTCTGAAGAAAGGACATAGAGAAAAACACCGATGTGATTTCCAAGACAAATAAATGAGTTTTTAAACCTTTTAAGGCAGACTCAATCTTCAGAAAATCAAGCCTTATAGGGGACTTGTAGGCTCTCTTGTGATTTAAATACCTCAGAACTTTTCTTCATGATTGATAGGATTGAGTATATATAATATATACTTAAATTAGGATTCTTAATTTAAGTGGGAGGTGGTTTCTAAGGATTTACAGTATTATCAATTGTTTTCATGACTCTTTCAGGCAGCCCTTGACATTCGGCAGTCAGTATTTGGTGGCAAAAATATCCATGTAGCAACAGCTCATGAAGACTTGGCTTATTCTTCTTATGTTCACCAGTATAGTTCTGGGAAATTTGACAATGCACTGTAAGTTCCACATTCCTTGTCAGTGAGAGATTAAATGCTGTTGCTGTTGTGTTGTTTTGTTTTTCCTAATACAGTAGTATTTAATGTATTTTATGGGATTAAATTTGTCTTTCTAGAGTTTTAACACAGTGCCTAAAATGTTCTCTTTTTTTACACTTTTTCATTTATTTTAATTTTATTGGGGTGACATTGGCTAATAAAATTATATAGGTTTCAAGTGTACATTTCTGTAATACATCACCTGTATTGCATTGTGTGTTCACCACCCAAAGTCAAATCTTTTTTCGTCACCAAAAAATGTTTTTGAAGTCATTTAAAATCATACCAATTTATAAAGCTCATTCATTTAGATTGTATGTTGTTTAATATTGAGTCTTACATATCTTCATATGGAATATGTCTTCCTTTGACTATTTCTTTCTATAACTTTTATTTGAGTAATTCAGTAGCCTCTGGCTAAATGGCAGACTTAACCTAAAAACTTCTTGCTCAAAACACACAGAAATACTGAAACAATCATCTTTTTAAATGTATAACTGAACTTGGAAGAGAGAGAGGAAATTCCCCCAAGGGCCAATAATGGACTAAAATATAAAAGCATAAATAATGAACTAAAATCTAAACTTTTGTATAGCTGCTCTGGGGTGGTGGAAAAACTTAGAAGTTTCTGTAACCATAGTTGAACAACATTCCTGGGTTTAAGAGACAGGGCGTTTATTAGCCCACAGGAAGCTGTGAGTTAGAACTGAAATTCTCACATGAAGCCAAGAGCAAGGCTACACCCCTAGGGAAAGGGTAAACAAGGAAAAATAAATTTGCCCACTGGCAAGAGAGATGACAAGGAAACCTGTCATAAATTCCTCACAGGGGAATTTGTAACTGCAGACATGTACCACTCCTGTGTTCAGGTATCATACATGCAGAGACACCCAAGTTGAGAAAAACATTGAAAAGCATTTCGAGACTACTAGTTCTACTGGGATGCCTTTCAGGAGGAAATGTAAAACTCTTGGAAATAATTAACCCTCAACCCAAACCATACAGATTTCCCATAGATCTAGCTAACTCTTATCTAAGGTGAACTTGCCATTTAAACAATTAAAAATAAAAACAAACATTTCTTCTATGAGTAAGAGTCAAGAGATATAATGAACAAGATCAGTACCCTAAGAATGTCACTTAACAGAACTTTTTGGTCGATACTATAAAATAGGTATTCTTAAATGATTAAAAATATAAAATGGGTTGCCAAACTATGGCTTGTAGGCTAAATAAAGTTTATTGAAACGTTGCAGTACCCATTCACTCATGTATTATCTGGCTGCTTTCACACTACAGCAGCAGAGTTAGAACAGTGTGTGACCCAGACAACCTAAAATATTTACTGTTTGGCTCTTTACAGAAAAAATTTGCCAACTTTGATATAAAAGAAGGAATCAGTAATATTTTGTAGGG